CATAAACACCGTCTCGCACATCACGATGCTGTACCCTGGTCATTTTAGGCCGCTGGAGAAAGGGGGGAAGGGGTCTTTGCCTTCGAGAAAAATCGCTGACCTTTGCCGTTTCTTCCGTTCCAGTCAAGAAAAATGTTTTCGTCGCTGACCTTTGCCGTTTTTTCCGTTCAGGTGCACCATATACTACTCGCTCCCTTAACGGTACCTTATGGGGGGCGGGGGAGGGGGGAAGGGAATTGCTCACCGTTCTGCCACAATGTAGGTCTCAGTTGTTATTCTCCTCAGAACTCTGATCGCTCCCTTTTGTTTCTTGTGCTTCTTTTGCTATGCATTTTCTCTTCACTTTTGACTTGCAGTTTGGGTCTTTATTGAGGTTTCAGGAATAAAGAATAAATAAATGAATATTTTATTAAGGAATCTACTGCGTGGCATCTGCAACGCATCGATGCTCTTTCGCCAGTACGGTAACGGACTGATCGAAGGTGAATGCCCGACGGCGGATGGTGTAGTGCCGGCCATCAAACAAATCACACACGCACTCGATAAGGTCCGTATACCTGAGCCGAGTTTATACTTCGCGACTCTGGCGATTCACTCGCGCGTTTCTCGTATCACTACAACCGACCGCTGTCCAATCATTGGTTGGTCTCAGCTGTCGAAAGAAGTTATCCTAGCCAGTTAGCGGCTGCTGCAAAGCAAGCTCCCATTGCGGGTGTGTTTCCTCAACCCATTTTCTCCTAGCTCGCTTTCACTCACTTCTCAAGGTTTTCAGGCTGTTATGGAAGACAACCACGAATTTTTGACCTTCACCCCACCCACTTCAGCGCACGCCCCGCCCACAACATGTGTGCATGTCCTCTGCTGTCGTCCACTGACCCCTTACTGACCTTCACCTTCATCCACGTTTTGGGGGAGAGGAGGGGATGTGGCAGAAAGCCAGTTAGTTATGCAGCATTCAACAATTAGTAGTGGAGCGCGGTCGACCCGCAGTCATAAGTTTCCCCAATCGCGCGACTGAATCGCTTGAGCAAAGTATAAACGCCACCTAATACTTCTGAATATAGCTGAATGCTCCTCTTTTCTAGGATTCACTAGATCTTGGCCCGCTAGCTAGCCATCTGAGAGATGTTGTAGCTGAAAGGCTTGCATGTATCATAGACGTCAATCATGAGGAATTCGATGGCACTTACATCCAGGTAGGAGGTCCTCGCTAAAAAAATTGTAAAAAAGGAATATTTACTATTTACAGGCAACAGCTCTCAATCCTCAGTTGGCCGTGCTTTTAACAGAGCAGCAACTTTCTTACGCAAGATCTGCAATCGAACAGGAGGTGAGCCCCCTCTTCGTTGAGAATAGGATTCAACAGATAGCGGTTGTTCCCATTATACCTACATTTATCTCTTTTCAGCTACACTCACGCCAACCGACTCCTACGTCGTCACTCACCATGGACGCACTTCTGGCGTCAGTTCTGTCATCATCACCTGATTCTTTGCCCTTGTACACAGACCTTCTTCCAACAGGCCCAACGATTGCAACAAGTAGAGACTTCGCAGTGTAATTTTGTAAAACAGGCTTTCCAGCTCACTTTGGAGGTAGAGTGCTGGTCATTCGTGTGTCAACCATTGCGCTTTCCCCATTGGTGCGTCCTTCTCTTAGGCAGCTTAGACTTACGCCGACGGCGGCGACAGTCGCGCCGTATCGACGCGATCCGATCGCGGCATTTTTTCGCCGACGCGGTCGGATCGTCGGCGCTAGCGAAGCGCTGCCGTCGCGAAGTCTGAACGCTGCCTTAAAGGCAGTTGGCACCGTGGTTGGGGCGAACGGACATGGCCAATGTCACTGGATGAAGGGCTGCGAGGGCGTTGTGGCCACATCTCACTCAGCCCTTCCACCAGTGACGTTGGCAGTAACCCGCCCGCCCCAGCCATCCGTGCCCACCGGCCTTCAGAGGATAAACGAGGAGGGGTGCATGCAAGTGATGAAGAGCGCAAACAATTGACCGTATGCCGTTCCTAAGTAGACAGGACCAGCGGTCCAATTGGGAAGGGGTCATATTTGAATGCTAGGACCATTGGCCCCTGCGCATGGCGGAGAATGATTGATTGATGTCTCATCGCAGCTGCGACGAATCACTCTGCCAGCAACGAAACCAATTATCTTACATAGGAGGTCGTGCAGGTGCGAAGTGGCCTTTTGTGATGAATGTACATCAACTGAGACCGGTTTTGGACGCTGATCTTGAATCTGCCTTCAAAATTTGCAAAGCGATTCTCTGAACGGAGTTATGGAGCCGCGTTTACCACGCAACAGGTCATGGGATCGGATCCCTGCTGAGCTTAACTTTTTTGCTTGTTGCGCAAACGTGGCAAAAAGTGATTTTGCCGTCACTACTACTTCAGTTCTCACCTGAGCTTGTCTGAAGAAAAGTTTGCCTCCATTTATTACTGCGCTTGGACTCCTTGTAGAAGCACTGTAGTGCACTGTAGTCTACAAGGAGTCCAAGCGCAGTAATAAATGGAGGCAAACTTTTCTTCAGACAGCCAGGTAGACAACTGAAAGTAGTTGGTGACGGCAAAATCACTTTTTGCCACGTTTGCGCAACAAGCAAAAAAGTTAAGCTCAGCAGGGATCCGATCCCATGACCTGTTGCGTGGTAAACGCGGCTCCATAACTCCGTTCAGAGAATCGCTTTGCAAATTTTGAAGGCAGATTCAAGATCCGTCTAAAACCACGTCTAGTGACTAATCAATCATCATCACAATGGCACTTCGACCGTGCGACCTTCCGCTAGTTAGCAAATTTTCGAAAGTTTTGCCGTCAAGGAAAGAGAGAGGAGGAGGGAGACACTTCAGACACATCAGCTGTGCGGAAGCAGTCTTTCGCTCAGCCTTCGAACCTCCGACTAAAAGGAAAAGGAGGGAGGGGTTGAGAGGTGCGTATAAAACGGGTTAAATGAACGTGAATCAACAACCTAGATAGATTTCTTTCCGGGATAGTCCGCCCTCCCTCTCCTCTCCATCAGCGACTAAGTATAAGCCCCGTTGAAGACAATTTCTTGAGGCCTTTAGCTACCAAATTGAGCCCCGTCGGGGACCTTCTGAATTGACCACTGGTTAGATAGTCCTACGGGGGGACTTCCGAACGGGGGGTCGTACCCCGTGGACTCAATTGTGGGGAACCGTCCGGTGCGTGGATTGAACAAAGGTCTCCGGAGCCTGCTTGTTGGGGACGGGAGCGTTGTACAGACACGTAAACTTCACACTTTTGTCTAAGCCCTGTAATGAAAATTTGGAATGGTGTTAGAAAAATAAACCACACGACGCACTAGAGTATTTACGTTTTGACTAGCTTATGGGAAAAGTCTTAAGAGGTTCGATCTTGTTCTTCCAGATTTCAAATAATTTTTTTTCAGGAACGCAACGCCCAGCCGATGCGCGATCGAATCACCGAGGCTGCACTGTCGTCGTATTTTGACGAACTGCTCAGCGGGGTTTGTCTATTTTATATCAATCTAATTTCATATTTTGGGACCCTAACGACGTGGATAATAAAAGGCATAGGCACGATGAATTGATATTCGGCTAAAAGGGGTTATCGGAGTGGTGCTGTCAGCAGTGGGGAAAATGCGCGAAAAAGCACGGAAAAAAACGCAAGGGAATAATGGCGAAAAAATGCGGAGAAAAATGTGGCGAAAAAATGGGGAAAACTGCGAAAAGCCAAAAATGGGATAAAAAGCCTGCAACACAACAAGTCTGTTCTACACGTACTACAGAAGCATTTTTGAGCGAGTTCCCCACTTGGCACCCGTGGCCATTGCAGGCCGGCGGGCGCGATGGGCGTCCAGGTCGCTGCCAGTCGGTATTGCAGCTTGATGGGGCACTATAAGGGTACCTTCTTTGGGAACAATGCCATGGGCACCGAATTCTGTCCTGCTGGGCGTATTGTCGTAGGAGTCCTGAAAATTGTCCTACCAACTGCTTTAAAGGCAAGTCGCGCGACCACACTTCATAGGTAATACAGTTCAAAAATAGAATTGCCCTGTGATTGTTGACTTATTGAAGAGAGCAACCACGAAAAAGCGCCCGCAATAAGACCCTCTTTATTTAAATTGATCATGATCACTGGACGAGCGTAAGGTGGTCAACAGGGTACAGCATCGTGATGCGTGAAATGATGGTGCCAGTACGATGCCCCTCCCTCTCGAGGGAGGGTTTGGTACGACCCCCCCTTTCCTCAGCTACCACTTTCCTACAAACTCCCAGCTTCTTACCAGTTCCTCCCAAATCTCCCACTTTTCAGTTTTTCGCCCAGAAAAGTTCCGTCAAGCGGGGGTCCCAACAACGACCAAAAACGACCACCCCTCATCAGCCGAAAAGTCTCGACCCCAACTCAGTATTTCACACAATTCGGCGCTGTTTGTCGACGAGGGGGCATTTTGCACATTGACGACCTCCCATCGACGTGTCGACCCATCTAGACAGCCTCTTCTCGAATTGACAGGTTTTACCATGATGGCTAGACGAGCTTGCTCCAGCTTCACAAGAGTTCACAGGTTTCACCAGAGTGAGACTTGTAAACCAGAACTAGTGAAGCAACGAAAGTGCAAAATGCCCCCCCCCCCGTCGGCAAACTGCGCCCAACAAGCCTGCTGTATCCTTGTCGGACGCGGGGCGTGGCCCGTGTTTCAAGAATCGATTGTGGCATTGCAAAAAGGGTGGCGATTACACTGCTAAGAGACGAGGGGCGGGCTAGATCTATTGACGTCAGGCGTCAATGGCAATGTTACAACGACACGCTCACCAGTGAGGCGGCATGGGCCTATCGCGCTTAATGGGCCGAAAAAACATGAGGCGTCGTTGCGCTGTCTGTTTGCTGTTTTTAGCTTTTAAAAGCGTATATATCCCTGTCTGTCCTGCTTGACATCATCGCACGTTTATGAGGTTCGTAGCCCTTAGTTTATCGCGGAATTTGCCCTTTTAATTTAGGATCCTTTACACGAGATTTCAACATTGTTTTCTATCTCGATCTTCTCTTCCATTTCTAACTCACGACAGCCGAAGCCCTTCTATCGCCGTTGCGTTCGTTCGGTAATCCACTCCAGACGCCCTTAGTATTTTGGCAAGGTTGTATGCAACGATGTCCGACATTCTGGCCACTTTGGCACATCCTCGAAACTTCTTTCAAACATACCTACGGCCACGGTGACCGCCGCGTCACTATTATCATCACGTAGTGTGTCACCATTCCAGAAACCGGATCCAATCCCGATTCTCTCACATCTTGATAAACCGGAAAAACTCGATCGAAACTTGTTACTTAGATTTAATCGGAAATTTTATACCATAAAGCTTATTAGAAATAGATTTTTACTAGTAATTTGATGGTGTCTCAAGCACCATCTGTGTATTTGGCTCGACTTAGCTCGGCGCTTCTCTCTCCTTTTCTTTCTCTTGTGCATTCTTCTTAAACATCTTTAAATGTTGATTTCTCACACATCTACTATTATTCATCTACGACTACGGTAGTCCTTAGAAGAGTATTTATTGATTTTTATTATTGATTTAATCACGAGACTTGTCATTTATATGTGGTGTGGCTTCGTTAATGATATGTGTGTGTGTGAGTACTATATGGTGTCCCGATCTTTGTCATTTGCATTTTTCTATCGAACTATTGCATTACTGTATGCCCCCGCCCCGCCTATAGAAGAAACTCCACCCCTTGTTTCTATTTCTTGTCCTTACGCCCTTCACACAAATGCTTTAATTCTCTTGCCGATTGTCTCCTAACCCAATCCCACTGATCGCGATAATTAATTTTTTCATGACTTAATTTTTTTATTCCTAGAAATTGTCTAGTTTTTGACTGTTGTGTATCTTCATACGTTCAACTCGTATTTATTTCCTTAATTTTTATTTGTTCGTTCGTTCATTCATTCACAGTGCAATACCGATATAGTCGTTCTCTGAACCTGTGATGTTGTTCCCTTACGACCTTCCTCCAATTCTACCGTCGTCTTCAGCAGCGCACACCCGGCAATCGGCAATATTTGTTCCCCTTGTATTGCTTTGTTTATTTTTAATATGCATTCCGCGATCAGCAAATGGGCGGTGACTCACGACCATGAGTGTAGATATTGGCGCGCCTCCCTGGCGCACCAATGAGGAATGTCCGACAGTTGCGAGTCTCCGCCCACCTGCTTGTCGCTGAATCTGTCCTTGGAAGAAATGGAGACAATACGACAGCGCACGATCTGGCCAAACTTATCCCCATCATATGTGCCCCGTGCCCACCCATATTCAACCAATCGTGCCTGTTCTTATAATATGAAGCTGAATTCAGAAGAAAAGACGTTATTCCATTTTCCGCACTCTTAGCACTCTGTTGATGTTCTTATAGCTGTGGATCGCTTGTGATAAATCGGTTACGTTCATTTATACGACCAATTGGTTCGCTTGCTATCAAATTTTCTGCTAGCGCAACTTTCTCAATCACGGCTTATCGATTCTGCGTGGAATACAACAGAGTGGGGTGGGTTTTTGTCGCTCAGGAGAGGATGGAGTGTAGATGGCTGCTAGAAAAGATTTCCTAGAAAATGTCATAATACCCTTTTCAAGCGCTACATGTCCCTGCTGGAAGCGCGGGGGTTCTGGGAAATTTTGTCAACACTTACCATTTGCCCCTTAGAATGATAGTATGATCTAAGTAATGATCAATACTGGTCAATATTGAAGTTTTGAAGTTTTATATTATGATAACTGCTTTACGCCGCAGTATCGCGTTCCGAATGTTATCACAAGAATGCTGAGTTGTGGGCAAAAGTCGTGCCCCAGGCGGGAGTCGAACCCGCACCTCACGCTTTCCGGGCGAGTGCGCTATCCGTTACGCCACCAGGGCCGCTTTTACCCTCTCAGCTTAACGGCTTTTATGCCGTAGCCTATCAGCACTCACACGTTTAACTTGGTGAGCCGGTAATCATTAGATATCGGCAATGAACCGCGAGGCCTAAGGCTTTAGAAATATTGAAGTTTTATAGTATGACTGTTGAGCTGAAGGGTAAAAGCGGTCCTGGTGGCGTAACGACGGATAGCGCACTCGCCCGGAAAGCGTGAGGTGCGGGTTCGACTCCCGCCTGGGGCACGACTTTTGCCCACAACTCAGCATTCTTGTGATAACTTTCAGAACGCGAACTGCGGCGTAAAACAGCAGTTATCATAATATAAAACTTCAAAACTTACTAAAGAATTCGGCCTCGCGGTTCATTGCCGATATCTAACGATTACGGCTGACCGGCTCACCAAGTTAAACGTGTGAGTGCTGATAGGCTACGGCATAAAAGCCGTTAAGCTGAGAGGGTAAAAGCGGGCCCTGGTGGCGTAGAGGATAGCGCACTAGTGGCAAGTGCGAGTACAGGTTCGGACATACTGCCTGGCGTCCATTTTTTGCCCACAACTCAGCATTCTTGTGGTAATATTGAAGTTGTTTTAAGATGATATTACAGGGAGCAAGAGAGTAGAAGCGGTCCCGGTGGCGTAAGGATAGCGCACTCGCCCGGAAAGCGTGAGGTGTGGGTTCGGATCCCGTCTAGGGCACGACTTTTGCCCACAACTCAGCATTCTTGTGATGATATTGAAATTCTTTCAACATGACAATACAGGTGGCAAGGGAGCATCTACGGCCCTGGTGGCGTAATGGATAGCGCACTCGCACGGAAAGCGTGAGGTGTGGGTTCGGATCCCGTCTAGGGCACGACTTTTGCCCACAACACAGCATTATTGTGATAATATTGAGGTGTTTGTTCTATGATGATATACAGCAGGCAAGAGAGTAACAGCCCTGGTGGCGTAATGGATAGCGCACTCGCCCGGAAAGCGTGAGGTGCAGGTTCGACTCCCGTCTAGGGCACGACTTTTGCCACAACTCAGCATTATTGTGATAATATTGAGGTGTTCTATGATGATGATGATACAGCAGGCAAGAGAGTGTAACGGCCCTGGTGGCGTAATGGATAGCGCACTCCCCGGAAAGCATGAGGTGCAGGTTCGACTCCCGCCATGGGCTAGACTTTTGCCCACAACTCAGCATTCTTGTGATAATATTGAGGTGTTCTATGATGATGATGATACAGCAGGCAAGAGAGTGTAACGGCCCTGGTGGCGTAATGGATAGCGCACTCGCCCGGAAAGCGTGAGGTGCAGGTTCGACTCCCGCCTGGGGCTAGACTTTTGCCCATAACACCTTTTGTCTACCAGCGTCCATAAGCGTCCCCTAGCGTCTCAAAGGCTCGGGAGGCATAGATGTCGATCTAGCGTCTGCCAGCGTCCATAAGCGTCCCCTAGCGTCTCAAAGGCTCGGGAGGCATAGATGTCGATCTAGCGTCTGCCAGCGTCTACCAGCGTTCACCAGCGAACGGGAGTAGTGAGTATGCGAAAGTGTGGAAGTGCAATCAGCTGGATAAGCCGTCGTGGGATTGCGGCGCTTGCAAGTGCACCGTACAGCTACATTATACCGTACATTAAATTCCATAATTGCATTAGCAGTTGTTGCAACGCCACCTGCCTTGCCTGGTGGACGCACTCAGACGCTGGCAGACGCTAGATAGCTACTTGCTTTTTTGACCCACGAGATGCTGACTGACGCTAGATCGATGTCTGGACTTCCCTAGTGGCTGACGCCGCCAGACGTTCCACGTTCTAGACGTTGACGCCGCCAGACGAAATATAGTGTTGCAAAAATTTACTGCGTTGGCGTAGTTGAACCGTAATCGCGGTTGTCTTCCATGGGGGGAGGGAGGGATTGCGGGGGGCCAGCTTGTCTTGCGGGCTGGTACCGTGCCAAATCTAGCCTCCTGCCACACTCCAGCGTCTGCAGCGAAAACGTTCTTATAGTTCTGTTTTTTCAAGGATACCTGACAGTTCGAGAGAAATAACAAGAAATAACTCTGACTGCTTTATTTTTACATCTATACACAAGATGCACCGGTTTCCAAATCCCGAAGGAGGTACTGTTGATATAACCTGTTCGATACCATTGCGATGTAGCAGACAATCACTTATCCCGGAATCTCTTGAACAGCGGATGTCGATCGGCAAGTGACTGCTGAAAACAAAAATTCATAAAAGCTGAAAAACCCGTACTGGTAATAAGTACACTGCTCGCCTACAAGGACTACCACTTTAACCAGACGTTAGATTTCTCACTTTAGGCATTGTTCACAGTATGCGACCCTAAGTCTAAAGGAGTCTCTTCCGCAACCAAGTAGTCTGATTCTCAGTTGAGAGAACTGTCCCTGTTTCTTCAATTTAAGCTGGGCAGAGGCAGCGTTTGGGCTGGAGTAATGGCGTAGTTCCACTCAGGCATTGTTCACAGTATGCGACCCCAATGAAACGGCGGCTCGGCAAAGAGCAATATTACGTATCGATCGGAGATCGCCAGACGCCTCTGGAGAAACGCCATCGCGGTTTGGTGAAAAGCAATGATGTGTATCGATTTTGCCGGCCGCGCCCGCTAAACTATCAATCGATACGTACTGCTTCGCCCAGAATGAAAAGTTCGCATGAAAATCTAACTCTATCCTTTCGAAGCCTAGTTCCCGAGAAGAAAGCGGTCGATCGTATTGACCGCTCTTTGTGACTTCTGTGCTCTCATTCCAGAAAAAAAGTGCACATTCGCAGGAAAGAATGGAGAAGAACGGCAAAATAACACGCCAGGGCAAGGTGCGTTTGTTAGGATAGCACTGGTGGAAGCGTCATTGGTGGGGGAGGGTCTGGCCAGCGGGTCAGAGGAAAATGGTACGGTCGCACCTTGCTAATGATTTCTAGCACCTAGGTGCCAGCGTCATGCGTTAGTTAGGATGTGGAGCACTAGTGGAAGCGACCGTACCAAACGAGCTGTGAAACAACCTGAAGCAAGGAACGTCCTGAGTAACTGCACTGTGACTCATAAGGAGGGGTTGTTGAGCTACTCACAAATGACAATCAAAATCATTGAGAACTGTCATCATATCAGAAAAAGAATATGAGGCTTACAAAAAGAAAAGACTGATTCAAAACAGCACTGTAACGTCAACCATTTAAAACTTAGAAACGAAAAGCTCACAAAGGCAAATTTGGCTGGAATTTCCCTTCCAAGATGAGTTCGACCTTCTCAGCGCAAAGATCACATCCACTTGGCCTGAAACCGCCTGGCAGCCGTGCCAAAGGTGCCGGCATCAAAATACCCAAGATCACCAAATTCGCTGAAAACTTGTCCCCAGTAGTAGCTTGACCTCTCAAAGGCTGAGCCCGCATTCAAATTTGATGAGTTATGCGGCTCAAATACTTATAACAAGGTAGCAAGTAACCCCTTAGTGAAGAAAAATCAGAAAGAAATCATAGGAAAGGCTCTATATAGAACCCCTTGCTTAATTGAGGTTGTACGTGCTCAAGGCGAAGAGAAG